CTTGAACCTGGGGCTCTCCCGGCGGCGACCGTCCCTCGGCGGCGGGACTCCTCTTGAAAGAACACTCGGTATCTCTTAAAGCATGGATATATGTATGTACGACGACAGTGTCAGATGGCAGTAGAGAATCCCTGAAGACTTATTTACACATTGGCAGTGTTGTTATGACACGTTTCGTTTGGTAGAACTTGTCTCGACTTGAGCATTCACAGGAGATCAACGTAATGGCAGTGTTGGTTGGATGCAGACTGCGAGTCAAGACCAAGGAGGGTTCACACAACAAGTCACGCTAGGTTTCCGCGATCGAGGTTTATCACAATGCTGGCAGTTTCCCCTCGCCTGTTTTCGGAGGGTGGCAGTTCGGTTATCACGAGATATTTCGGTCTTTGTCCCGTAGCGGAGCACGAGCGAACACCACACGCCGCACGGTCACTCAACTCTCCGTTTCCAGCCTCTCTCAGTCCCTGCTAATTCCTCTTTATCCAGCTCTCTCTCTCTCGTGCCCCTTTCTTTCACCACAAGCTCGAACTTGAGACACACGAGGGTGGGTTAAGCACTCCCAGTTTTTGGCAGTGTTGCACGCGTCATTGCACACGTGCACATTCTCTAGGGTCCTTGTCCCGTCCCCGCGGTCCGCGCCAGACCTTCGCTCTCGCTCCTCTCCGCTTCCGATCCTTCCTCCAGCCACACTGAACGGTCCCCGAGCACGCTGCCGCCGAGCCAAACAGAAACTTTCTACCCGGCCAGCCCTCCTCGCCAGCCTCGCACTCCCGACTCCAGGGCCCTTCGGTCCTTCGGGGCCCTCCCCGCGGCGGCTCTCCTGCCCCTTCGGATAGCAGAGGCCTCCGAGGGCTTCCCCGAGGACCAGACGCGGGGCTGGAGTTCCGTTTCCCGACGGGGGTAGTCGCTATTTCGAGGCCAGGAGGAGGAGGGCGAGGGGGGACGTGGGTCGTACGGCTGGCAGCGCGGCGCGGGTGTTGGTGAGGCGAGTGGTTGTGCGAGCGTATTGATCCCCAGGTGAGGTGGTGCGGGGCCGGGGCGGGGGGAGGGCCCCTCTCTCCCCCTGGGTATACGGACTCCACATCCCACTCCACTGCTTTTCTGCCAACGGGCATCTTGTTCACGCAAATACGACCCGATTCGAGTGACAAGCGGGGGGCGGGGACGGCGAGACGAGGCGCATCGCAACCACCGAAAAGGCTCGTTGGGAAACCGACCTCCGTCCTCGCTGCCATAAAAAATAAACCATTTTCCTCTCTTTTTTTTTTCTCTCTCTCTCTCTCTTTCCCGCAAGAACATCGACGATTCCTCCCTCCCTCCCTGCACCTTCATGGAAAAGAACATTTTTTTCTGAACATATAAAAGGCCCCCCTCCCTCCTCCCTCCCCCTTCCCCTCCCTCCTCCCTCCCCCCTCCGCTATTCGAGAACCTCTCCCCCATTATCTAATCTATCCATCAACATACAAAAAAAAAGAAAAGGAAAAAAAGGTTCGATAATCACTCGGCCATTAGACGCCAGCGGGGCTCGAAGGAGCGCCTGCGAGCCTAAGCCGAAGGAGAGACCAACCAACCCAAGAAAAAAAAAAATCACAAAAAGAAAAAAAACACCAAACCAACCAACCGAGGAACAAGAAGAAAAAAAACGAAAGAAAGGCGAAAACAACAAAACGACAACCACGGAGGGTGACAATACACCAACAAACAAACGTAAAAAAGCGGAAAAAAGGTTGGGAGCGCGGACCCAAATTCACTTGCCGTAATTAGGTCAATGGCATTGGCTTATCGCTGCGCTATTGCTAGGGAGCCAAGGCGCGTCCACCTGGTCTCTATGCCATAATTATTACGTGTATTTTTTTTATCGAATTTTCTTCTGGTTTTCATCCTGTAATTTTTACGTATTTAACCATTATCCTTTTGTCCTTCGCGTTGCTGTCTATCTGTCATTCGCCCCTTCTCGTTTCTATCCTTTTTCCTCCTTTTCTTTCGCCCTCCCTCACTTCCCTCCTTTATCGCTCTCTCCCCTTTATTCCTCCCTCTCCCTCTTCCGGCTTCGCTTGGACCGAGCACAAAGCTTCGACGCGAATATACCTGTTGTTTCCCCCCCCCCCCCCGCCCACACCTCGGACCACGTGACCTGTCGGGCTCGCTCTCTCTCGTCTCTCTCTTCTCTCTCTCTCTCTCTCTCTCTCTCTCTCTCTCTCTCTCTCTCTCTCTCTCTCTCTCTCTCTCTCTCAGTAGTGTGTGGAAAAGAGAGAGAAGAGAGAGAGAGAGAGAGAGAGAGAGAGAGAGAGAGAGAGAGAGAGAGAGAGAGAGAGAGAGAGAGAGAGAGAGAGAGAGAGAGAGAGAGAGAGAGAGAGACAGAAAGAGAGAAAGAAAGAGACAGACAGAGACAGAGACAGAAAGAGACAGAGAAAGACAGAAAGAGAAAGTGAGTGCTCGAGCGAACGAGAGCGAGAGTGCGGGAATGAGCGAGTGCACTAATAACAGATTGACTGAGAGCGAGAGAGCGTGAATGCGTACGTGCACCGGATACCGAATCAATGGGCAGCGGCGAGACTCGTGGCGATTCGGGCGTCCGGAAGTGCAGGAATGCAGGCCGTGCGAGCGAGCGAGGGAGGAGGAGAGGGAGAGAGGGGGAGAGGATGGGAGAGGAGGGAGGAGGGAGAGAGGGGGGAAAGGGAGAGAGAGGATGGGGGCGAGGGAGGGGGAGGATGGGGCGAGGGAGGGAGAAAGGGGAGGAAGGGAGAAGACGGGAGGAATGGAGAGGATGTGAAGGAGGGAGAAAGGGGGAGGAAGGGAGATAGAGGGAGCCAGTTGACGACTTGTCCCCCACATTCCGGGCCTCTCCCCACGCCGTGACCCGAGGCCCTTCAGACCCGAAGGACCTCGTGTGCCCTCGGATGCCCTCGGATGCCCTTGCGCCCTCGCTCACGGGGACGGAGGGGGGGGGGAGAGAGAGGTACCGATGAGGAAATGGAGGGAGGATGGGAGAGGAAGAAAGAGGGAGACAGCAGGAGGAAGGATAAGAGGGACAGATAGAAATATAATGAAAAGAAGAGAAAAGAGCGAGGAGAAGAGGAGGAGGAAGAAGAAACAGAAGAAGGAGGAGGAGGAGGAGGCGGTTAGCGGCAAAGAGAAGAGCCAAGATGCGAGCGCGAGATAGCGCGCCTCCTCCTGCACGCGTTCTTCCTCCCTGGAACGTCCGGCCTCGCATCCTGCACCGCTGCGGGCGTGCCAGGGCAGCGCCTCCGCCTCCGGAGCGCCGCCGCAACCCCCGCCCCCCTCCGAAGGGTCAGTCCTCCCCCCTCTAAGGGACGCCCCTTCCCTCTCCCCTTTAAATATTTCGTCAGCGCCCGTCACATTAGCGGGGGCGCACCGGCCGGACACCCACCCACGGTCAGGGGACAAGTCGCGCGCGCACAATGGGCGGGCATGTGCGGGCGCTGTCGCGGGGATGACCACGACGCCCGATGCCCGACGCCCCCCCCCACCCCACGTGCAACAAAACATGCCCCGCGGCGTCGTCAACAAAGGAGGGCGGTGGAGGGGGAGGGGGTGGCCGGTGTTGACGATCTTGCATCCACACAATAGGGGGCGAGGGGAGGAGGAGGAGGAGAGGGGGGGAGGGGGGGAGCAGATGGGAGGCGAGCACGCGACTCGGAGGAGCGCATTGACAAGCACAACAAAGCGCGACGAGAGCAGCGGCGGCGGCGGCGACAAAGGCCCCGGCGACGACGACCGCGACGACGATCGCCTCGCCTCCCCGCGCCCGCACGCCCCCGCCCGCCGCCTCGCGAGCACAACGCCGTCCCTCCCGCCCGCGCCTCCGTCTGCCTATCCGTCCCTCTCGTCCGGGCGTCCACGTCGGGCCCTGATCCCGACAGGCCGTCTCGCGCATAACATACCGCAAAAACGAAATGGAAAGAAGTGTGTTGATGTATGCGATATTAACGCCTAGATGTCACGGAGGGGAGGGGGAGTGGGAGGGAGAGGGAGAGAGGGAGGAAAGATGGGAGTATGCGAGGGAGGGAGGGAGGAGGGAGGGATATATCTCTGTGCGGATACACGTGAACACAGCCACGCCGCGTCCCTCCCTCGGCTCCGGCACCCGACCGGGATACGTGCGTCGGTCTTGACGTGAGCGACGACCGACCCAACGAGCAGTTCGGGGCGGCGGAGGTCGCGCCTGACCGAGTCCCATCCGACCCGCCTCTGACCCTCCTAAGGACGCCCACACACAAGAGCCGTCGTATCTTCTGCGTCCACTGCGAGTCGACCTCTCTCGACCTCTCTCGACCCCTCAGAAGAAGGGTGTCCCGCGCCTCCGGATTCGCCGGGGGCCTCTCCTCCCCGAGTCGAGGCCAGCGAGTCGGGGGCAGAAGGTCGGACTCCGGCGGTGACGCGTCCCGAGGAAGCGCACCCCTCTCGTCACACCTCACCCTCTTTTTTCCCCCTCCTTCTCCTCCTTTTCCACCCTCCCTTGCCCTCCCTTTCTTCCCTTCCCCACTCCCTTCTCTCTTATCTCTCTTTCCCCCTTCCCCACCCTTCCATCTCCCCCTTGTCACCCTCCACCTTTCTCCCTTTCCACCTCCCTCTCCTTCTCTCCCCTCTTCTCCTCCTCCTCCTCCTCCTCCTGTTCCCCTCTCGTCTCCCTTCCTAACCTTTCCCCCACGACCCTCCCCCCCCCCCCCGCGAAACCCGATAACCACCGGGCCGCCGCCAGTTGTACGGCCCGCGAGTCCCGCTCCGCCTCTCGCCCACAATGCAGCGCACAATGCCGGCAGGTGGGCGCTCTCGCAGGCCGCTCATTACCCATAACATTTCCCAGTCGCCCACAACACGCCCAGATGCCACGGCGGGGGCGTGGGAGGGAGAGGGGGGGGGGGAGGGAGGAGAGATGGGAGGTGCGAGGGGGAAGGAGAAAATAAGAGAGAGAGACGAGAGCGAGAGCGAGAGCGAGAGCGAGAGCGAGAGCGAGAGAGAAGAGAGAGAGAGAGAGAGAGAGAGAGAGAGAGAGAGAGAGAGAGAGAGAGAGAGAGAGAAGAGAGAGAGAGAGAAGAGATGAGAGAGAGAGAGAGAGAGAGAGAGAGAGAGAGAGAGAGAGAGAGAGAGAGAAGAGAGAGAGAAGAGAGAGAGAGAGAGAGCGAGAGAGAGAGAAAGAGAAGAGAGAGAGAGAGAGAGAGAGAGAGAAGAGAAGCGAGAGCGAGAGCGAGAGCGAGAGGAGAGAGAGAGAGAGAGAGAGACAGAGAGACACAGAGAGAAAAAACACAAGCGCCATGGCACCATCCTCCACCCGTGGCACTGGGTCCGCGCTGGCCCGCTCCGACGTCGTGGCACCGTGCCTCGCCACCGAAATACCTAGAGTGCCAAACATTAGTGTAGGCCAGTGATCATACGCCAAGACGTGGCACCCACCGACCAGACTAAATGTGGCCCCCGCCCGCCCTCCACCCGCCCTCCCTCCTCCCTCCCACCCCCACCATGCTTCATCCTTCCCTCCCCTCCTCGTGTATTTAACTGCAATGTGTGCCATATTTCTTGTCTGGCGGGGTGAAGTAATCCGAGTCTCTCTCTCTCGCTCTCCTCTCTCTCTGC